GCGCGCGCCGGCCGGGGCGGTGAGGGCGCGCGCGGATGGAGGAGGGGGGACCCGCGCCGGGCCCGGGACCCAGGGCCAGGCCCCGCGGTGCCCCCGCGGCCGCAGTGTCGCCGGACTGAGGCCGCTTCGCTCGCCGCCGCCGCCTTCCGCGGAACGAGTTCTGGGCGTTCTGCCGCAGCCGTCCCCGAGACGCCGCCGCTCCCCGGGCTGTGAGGGCCGAGCCGCCCTTCCCAGCTGCCTCGTCTGCCCGGCGTGAGGGAGCCTGGCCGTGGGGCAGGCCCGGACCCTCCCGTGTGTCGCCGGACGGGGGTTGGAGGAGCCGGTGCCGTGCTGAGATCTGGGCTGACCCTCCCGGCGTGGCGGCTGGCTGTGTGTGCCTGGGGCTCCGGCTGGCGGGTCCCCACCCCGTGCCCGTGCGGTACACCGGAAGGACACCGGCTGTAGAGGTGCTGCAGGGTCTGGGGACAGCCCCGAGCCGCAAGCCTGGCATGACCTCCGGCAGGGACGGGCCAGCGGCTGCGTTTGGAGGGTTCCTCGGCCTCTGCGGTGCTGGGGTCTGCCCTCCTGCCCTCTGTGCTTCAGAGTAAGGCAGCAGGGAGTACCTGGAGCCTACCCAGCTGCTGTGGACAGGGGTAGCTGCTCCCCCTTGGAGATCTGTATCTGCTCTCCAGCAGTGTGTTGTGTCCATCTGTTCTTGCTTCTCGCCTTGAATCTCTTAGATGGGGTCACCCACACAGGTTACAGACCATGGACACAGCTTCCGAGGAGATGTGACCTGGGCCCCGCTTGCCACGTTGGCGCTGCAGAAGTCTGTGGGCAAAGGGCACTTCTTTTCCGTGCTTGCCAGGGCTGCCCTGGTGTCAGCCTGTACCAGAGGGGCTGAAGATGCCATCTCCTCTCAGCCAAGGAGGGCTTGAGGATCCACCCACTGCCCTTTGGTGGGGGAATGCATTGGCTGGGCCACCTCTAGAGCTGTGCAAAGCAGTGTTCCATCCTCAGGAGGGACACAAATGGGCTTTGGTAAGGCTGAGCACCCTGGCTCTGGGTCCAGATGCTCCTTCCCTGCCACCAGCCTCCGTGCCCAATGTCCAAAGGGCTTGGTCGCCACCTCTGCTTGGCGGTGGCGTGGTGCTGCAGGGCTCAATCTCCACTGCCTTGGCCAAGCACAGCCCTCCTTATCTCGCTGCCTTCCAAGCTACTGGCGACAGCTGGCACAGGCAGATAAAGGTACAATTGCTGCCAAGCAGTAAATCATGTCTGCTGCCCTGCACTGCTCCTCTGGCCTGTCCTTGACTGCCTCGGCTGGGCAGTGGCAGTGGGAGTCAGAAGAGTGCTTTGCTTGCCTTGTTTTCCCCTCGCAGAGCTTCCTGCCTCTGCCAGCTCACCCCCCTTGTAGACTCTTTCCATGACTCCTGTCTTTACTGGTCCCCTGGGAGGGAGGGACACAGCCCTGGGGGCTCTGTGTATAATTTTGCATCAGGGTGCCAGCTGAAGGGCTGGAGGAGGGGGCAGCTCTGCCCCCCTCGTTGCCTTTGCTCTCCCTCCTTGCGTGTGGCTTTCCAGTACTGGTTTTTGGGCTGGGCAGGGATTGGCTCCAGCACTTTCCTTGGGTCACAGAGTGACTCTAGGCCCCCGATACCATTTGCCAGTGTGGGCAGGGTCCAAGCAGTGCCAGGCTCAGCCTGGTGTTCCTGTCCCAGTGCATCCCATCTCCACCTTCTTTCCAATGGGAAGAAGGTGGCTTCCAGGTTTCTGTTACTCTTTGTGCCAGCCTCATGTCGCGCGGCAGCCACAGCCCCATCCACCTGTGGACAGCATGGAGGAGCAGGGTCTGCCTCCTGGCACCGTGGCCCCCACCCACCTCAGCGGGCTGGGACAGGGCTGGCTAACTCCCTGTTTGTCCCCGAACCGCAGGTTGGAGTGCCAGACGAGAGGGGCTGTGTGTCTCTGCTCCCTGCCCGGGGCCTGCCCTGCCCTCCGCCGGCGATGGAGTATGTGGTAAGGACTTCGGTGGAGGGCTAAGTGGCTTCGGTGGTGGATCCTGCCTGCCTCCTCTGCCTTCTGGGAGGTCTCCAGCCTCTTCCCCACATCTGCACTGGTATCTCCTAACCCCCTCTTCAGAATGAAGGAGAGGTCGCGTGCAGGAATGCATAAATGTTGTTCGATGCTGCTGTGATGCATGGGGGAAAATCAGCTATTGGCTGGATTTGAGTGTTCTCCTTTGCTTCCCCCCTGCCTCAGAGGTTCAGCATTGGCTGCAGTTGGACAGAGGGGGCCTCCTGCCCAGGGCAAGGTTTGTATGTGTGGCCGCCTGCACCTTGCTGCGATTTTTTGCCAAACCACTGGTATGTTCCAGGCCTCTGACTCAGCTCCCAGTTTTTTTCCAGGGAAGATGTTGGTAGCAGAGCCTTGAGCATCCCCACTCTGCTTCTCTTCCTTGCCCCAGGTGGTGTGTGAAGTCCCAGTCGCGGGTGCCTGAAAGTAGTCCAGGTCCCTCTGTTTCTCATGATCCGTTGTCTTTCTGTGGTGGCAGGACACAAGGAGCAGCTGGGCCAGGACATGTCCCCAGAGCTCCTTGGGGGCCGTGGTTGTGGCTGCTCTGCTCATCCTCTGCTGCAGGGGCAGGAGCTCTGCCTGGCAAGGGGAAGGGCTGCAGCCTGTGGGATGGGGTTTGGGACTGCCTGTTCAGGCAGGGCCGGTGTTCTGCACCTTTGCACATCTCCAGGTTTGCCTTCTGCACTCAGAGCCCACTGGGGGGGAGCTCTGGTGACTTGAGGTAGACTCTGGGGCTGGGGGGGCTGTAATGGTCCCCAAGGGCTGGGAGCTGTGATGCATCTTGTAACAGGCTGTTGAGTGGTGTGGGCAGACGGGCCTCGAAGGTTCTGAGAAAATCAGGAATTACTCTAGCTTATAAAAGCAGAGATGTGTCTGAGCAGGAGCTTCAGCTGGGAGGCTCGGCAGCCCTTTGCTGCCTGGAGGTGATGGCTGCTCCAAGCCCTGGGGTGGTGGAAAGGGGCCAAGGAGACACTCCTGCCCCCTTGCAATTCCCTCCTGCTCTCATCCTGGGGAAGCATTAGGGCTCACAGAGCTGCCGTGCCAGGCAAGCCCAGGCCCACATCAACCAGTCCATCACAGCCAAACCCCACTGCTCCGTGGCCACTTGATGCTGCCCAGCCAGGCTCCCCTGGCAACAGGGCTGCACTGGCCCCTCACCGGGCCAGCAACTTCCTGGCTCCGGGCTTCCTGCTTTTCTTTAGAGGAGTGGTGCTGCGGCCACAGGAAGGTCACAGCACTGAACAGCCGGGGGCCCCTGGAGGGGACAGGCACTTTGTGGAGCAGCCAGCACAGGCTCTCTGCGCCTGTGGGACCACCGTGGCTGAGCTGGGGGGGCTGGCCTTCACAGAGCTAGTGTGCATGGCCAAGGAGATGCTTCAGTGACGGGCCCACTCGTGTGTGCCACAGCCCCTCGCATCACGTAGGTGGCAATTTCCAGCCCTGTTGTGGCTTTCCTTTCCCTGTCCTCATGGCAGTGTGCCAGGCTTTGTGGCACACTGGAAGTGGGGCAGGCAGCTGCCAGTGCCAAGCAGTGCTGGGTGAAGGCTCCAGTCAGGGAGAGCCTTTTCCTTGGCCTAGATTTACCCAGGTTTGGTTTGGTGGACAGAGCACTTGGTGGTTTGGAAGGATCTGGCTTGTGATGCGTCGGGGGTTGTGCTCTGTCTGAACTCCTTGCCTCGTCCTAGAGGGGATGGGGGAGAGCTTTTGTCCCTCAGTGGGGCCAAGGCTGTGGAGGGCAGCACAGTCGGGCTGGCCCAAGTTCCTGCTGCGTGCACGTGCGTCGAGGATAGGGCAACAGGGGAGACCTGCCCCTGAGCCCCCTGATCCACAGGTGGGAGTTTCGCCCACCTCCACGAGGCTGAAGGGGCCAACTTTGCCCCCAGCACGTTCTTGCCGCCCGCTCCCGCTAGCTCCGCCTGTGACCTTGATTTTTCTGCTCCAGATAAGCGCTGCGTCCCCTCCCCTCGCCGGGAGCCCCTCCTGCGCTGCGCCCCAGCCCCAGCGCAGCCCGCGCCGCGGGCAGAGCCTGCCCCGCCGCCTGTGAGTCAGCACAGCTCTTCCGATCAGCCGCAGCCCCTTCATCTCTTCTCCCGGGAGGAGCAGCTGGGATGCGGGAAGCAGCAGCGATTAGCTGCAGCCTCTCCCACAGGCTCCCCACCACAGCTGGGGGTTTGTGCTGAGCCCTGCCTTGCCCAGCACACAGCCTACCTGTATCCTGCTCCTGGCCGTCCTCCAGCCCTCCAGGGGGTCCACCAGCCCTCCAGGCAAGATCTGTGCTCTCAAAGGACTGCATGTCCCCGTATTCCTGGAAGCTGCGAGCACCGGTGACATCTCAGCATCGCTGCTCCCCCCCGGCAGAGCCCGGCAAGCCAACAGCAGCAGCTCACCGCCGGCACGTGGGTTGCGTGGCGCTGGCTGCCACAGAAGGACCTCGCTCCCTCCTGGACAGTGCTCGGAGCAGGGCTGGGATGGGCTTGGATGCGCTCTGTGTCTGCCTCATCTCCGGGCTTTAAATATTCATGCTTTTGATTTTCTCTTAGCGGGCAGTGGCACAGGGGCTGGAGTGAGCTGTGGGGCGGAGGGTGGCCGTGCTGAAACGAGCAGGGCAGAGGGAGCTGGAGCTGGTCCTGGATGAAGACAATGGGTTTTGTTGCTGGCCCGGTGTTGAAGTGGCGAGGGGCTTGAGGACCTCCAGGCTGGGGCCAGAGCACTCTGAGCTCCCCTCCCTGTGCCAGCAGCTCCCCAGGGTGTCGCTGCGGCCCCGTTTCCTCCCTGCTGTAGCGCGTTGCTCTCAGTCTGAACGGATCTGCACGTCCTTGCTGCCGCCGATCACGACTGATCGGCTGTGCCTGCACGGTGCTGGGCAGCCCCTGGACCTGCTGCCCGGCGTCCCAGGCCCAGCCCTCCCTGCCAGCCATGTGGGGCTGGCGTGGACCTAGCGCAGAGTTCAGCCGAGGCTTCTGCTTGGGGGCAGCTTCCCGGCGGCTGCAGGCACTCGGACTCTCTGTGGGGCCCCTGTGAGGCCCAGCTGGCTGCATCCACCCTACTGCCACTCGGGACAGGGCGGCTGTGGCCCTTCTCACCTGCCTCCAGCATGGATCTCCTGCAAAAGAGCAAATACAGCCACCTGCGGAACGAGTCTGTCTCCTCTCCGGAGGAGGCCATGGCGGGCCTGGGAGTCCTGCCCTCCCCAGTGGAGTCCCTTGCAAGCATGCAGTCTCTGCCTGGTTCCCTGTCCTCCTCCCTCAGCCACGCTGCACCTCTTGGGGAGCTCTCACCTGAGTTGGAGGAGAGCCCTACCACCCTCTGCTCCTTCTTCCCCAAAATGGCCAACCTGAAGCTCTCCAATCCCGCCAACTTGCTCAGCTTGCGGGGCTCTGCAGCCAGCAGCAGCCCAGGGGAGCCTGGTCCCCCTGGGATGCCAGCACTAGTGCCAGGGGGTGGTGCCAGCCCCGGCTCAGTGAGACCTGTCACTGTCTGTTCCCAGGATATGAACAAGCTGAGCTGTGGGAAGAAGACGCGGGTGGAAGGCGGCCAGCTGGGGGGTGATGAGTGGACCCGCCACGGCAGCTTTGTCAATAAGCCCACCCGTGGCTGGCTGCACCCGGATGACAAGGTCATGGGCTCTGGGGTCTCCTACCACGTCCGGGTGAGTGCTGGGGAGTGGGGGAGACTGGGAAGGGTCACTGTGGGGATTTGGGGACCTCCTGGCAGCAAGATGCACCAAGCTCTTTGGGAAGGGGCGGGGGACAGGGCGGGGCAGTGGGCAGTGGGATTCCCAGGGAAGTTACTGCTGCAGAGCCAGGGTGCTTGAGACCCCAGCCCCCTCCCTGGGTACATGGGTGACAAGCTCCATGGCTGGCCAAGCTCACCTTGCTCTCTTGCACAGTACATGGGCTGTGTGGAAGTGCTCCAGTCCATGAGGGCTCTGGATTTCAACACCAGGACACAGGTGACCAGGTGAGCTCTGCCTCTCCCCGGGGGCTGCTCCTTTTGGGGAGGGGTGAGGAAGTTGTCTGAGCCCTAGGTGAGCCCCTGGTAGCACGTGGGGCTTTCAGTGGGGGCCAGGGGCTGCTGCAGCCCATCAAACACTAATTCCAGTGCACTTTGCCCACCCAAAGAGCCTCAGCTGGCACTGCCTGAGAGCTTCCACTTTGTCACCCTGTCTCTCCTGTGCTGATCCCTGTGTCCCCACTGCCCCGAGTGCTGTGGCTGGGGGGGTCTTGGGGCAAGGCAGGCACTGTGGGGGCTGACCTTTCACTGCACTCCCTGCAGGGAGGCCATTGGGCTGGTATGTGAAGCTGTGCCTGGTGCCAAGGGAGCCGTGAGGAGGAGGAAGGTGAGGCCTGGCTGGGAAGCTGCTGGGGGAGCATTTGTGGCTGGTTTGAGCACAGGGCCAAGGACCAGATCCCAGCCCAGCTGGCAGTGCTGTGCTGGTCAGCCCAGGGCTCTGATTCCCAGCTGAGGCTTGGGCCAGGGCCACTGGTGAGAACAAGGTGCCCATCTCTGCTGTGGAAGCAGTGGGATGTGCTCTGTCCTCCTGCTGCTGGGCTGTCTGGTCTGGGGAGCCCCTTCTCTATGCTACCATTTGCCCCTAGCCCTGCAGCCGCTCCCTGAACTCCATCCTGGGCAAGAGCAACCTGAAGTTTGCAGGCATGCCCATCACCCTGACCATCTCCACCAGCAGCCTCAACCTCATGGCCTCAGACTGCAAGCAGGTGAGAATGGGGAGGGGTTGGGTTGATTTTGGACAAGCAGGAATCCTCATGTACCTCACCCCAGATCTTGCTGGGGCAGGGGATGCCCCCAGCCTCCCCAGGGAATGTTTGGATGGGCTGTGAGATGAGTGCTCACCTCCCCACAGTCCCTGGGGCTGAAGAGGTGGGAGGAATATCCCGTGTGCTTTGTGGGATCTCTCCTGGAGACGGTGGGACCCAAGTCCCCGTGCCTGGGGCCAGATCTCCTGGTTTTGACCCCACTCCCAGTGATGTCCCAGTCTTTTTCCTGGTGGTCTGTGGCTCATAACCAGGGCTCTGCAGGATTTTGAGCCCCTGTGGCAGGTCAGCCCTGGGAGGAGCGGGATATGCCACCCCTGGGTGGGTGACAGGGAATTCCTGGCTGTGTCCAACAAGCTCTCCTCCTTGCAGATCATTGCCAACCACCACATGCAGTCTATTTCCTTTGCATCGGGGGGAGACCCGGTGAGTACCCGGCAGGGTCCCCATCCGTGCCCTGTGCAGGGGCCTCTCCTGCCCTCTGCCCAGCTCTCGGGCCCCATGCTGCCCAGCAGCCGTGTCTCACTCTGCTGTCTCACCCACAGGACACAGCTGAATATGTTGCCTACGTTGCCAAAGACCCCGTCAATCAGAGAGGTGAGGGTGCTGCAAGGGTCCTTGATGCCAAAGCCCCACTTTGGAGGGGTTCAGGATCAGCTCAGCGTAGGGGGGGAACTGGATGACCCCTAAGAAGGCTCTGGGGTGTACAGGGCAGGCTCAGGGGTGGAGAACCTTGGTGCTGGAGTTCCACAATCCCACCCCTTCATTTTCTACCCAGCCTGCCACATCCTGGAGTGTCCTGAAGGCTTGGCACAGGATGTCATCAGCACCATCGGGCAGGCCTTCGAGCTGCGCTTCAAGCAGTACCTGAAGAACCCTCCAAAGCTGGTGACCCCCCACGACAGGTGAGAGCAGAGTTATGTGACAAGGAGGAAGGTGGTTTTGGAGAGGGGATGCAGCCATGGCTGCTGTCATGGGCTTATCTGTGCTGTGCTCTCCCAGGATGGCAGGGTTTGATGGCTCTGCCTGGGATGAAGAAGAGGAGGAACCAGCCCCGGATCACCAGTACTACAACGACTTCCCTGGCAAGGAACCTCCCATTGGGGGGGTCGTGGACATGCGGCTGCAGGATGGGGCTGCTCAGACCCCAAATCACTTGGGTGCCACACTGGTGAGGCTCTGAGCATGTCCTCTTGGGGAGGCACCATCTTATAAGGGAATCATAGGGACCCTGAGTGGGCCATGGGTTCTGCTGAAGGTTATTTGTGTGTGTCTGGGGTGTGGGGAGCAGGAAAGGGGATGGGGGCTCATCTCTGCCTCTCCCTGCAGCCTGTTGGCCAGTCATCCGGTGGGGAGTATGACCCCCAGAAGCAGCATGCTCCTGCCCAAGGTAATGTGATGGGTGTCTCCATCCTCTTCCATGGACCCCAGTACTGTGATGGTGGGCACTGGTGGGGGGCCAAGGTGGGCTTGAAGCCCTGCTGACCACAGTGCTCCTGGCAGCAGGGAGAGAAAAGTACCCAGCTCCAGCAGGCACGTCTGGCCGCACAGACCTCTTTGATGACCCGTCCTACGTCAACGTGCAGAACATAGACAAGACACGCCAAGCTTCAGCCTCTGGCACCCCGGCCACAGCCAACGGCAGCACTCAGAGGGACCTCTTTGACATGAGTGAGTGAATGGTGGCTGCAGCCAGGGCTGTGGGTAGGGCTGTGGGCTTGGTCATGGTCCCCCCGCTCCTCTCTCCTTGCAGAGCCCTTTGAAGATGCCCTGCGTGTGCCCCCCTCTGTGCCTGTGGCGCTGCCCCCCGCCCAGGTGGTGGCCTCCATGGAGGAGCAGCTGAGACGGGAGCCCTGGTACCATGGGAAAATGAGCCGCAAGGAGGCTGAGAAGCTGCTGAAGGTGAACGGAGACTTCCTGGTACGGGAGAGCACCACCACCCCGGGCCAGTACGTGCTGACTGGCTTGCAGGGTGGGCAGCCCAAGCATCTGCTGCTCGTCGATCCCGAGGGAGTGGTGAGTCCACATAGAGGGCAGCAGTGGGGGTCCTAGGGGTTACAAGAGCCACCAGAGCATTGGGGTTCTGCACTGCTGCTCAGGGGATAACTCTGGGCTGGCTCTGGGGATGGACAGGGCCTGGCAGAGCATGGGTTTGAGACTGCAGCCCCGGGTCTGTGCCCAGCCCATGCCATGGAGGGTGGTAGCTCTGGCCTCACGTGGGCACTGACAGCCTCCTGAGCGCCCCTTTTCTGGCCCCCCAGGTGCGGACAAAAGATCATCGCTTTGAGAGCGTCAGCCACCTCATCAGCTACCACATGGACAATCACCTGCCCATCATCTCGGCCGGCAGTGAGATGTGCCTGCAGCAGCCAGTGGAGAGGAGACTGTGAGCGCCCGGGGACCCCAGTGCACGGCACCCCCAATGCACAGCCCTCTGGCCGTGTTCGTGCCCCAGGGAGCCCTCAGACTCTTCCAGGTGCTCCACCCAGGACTGAGCATGGACTTGGCTGAGGACAGGGCCTCTCTCCTTTCACCACACGGAGCTGGTGGCCATGGGGGGCTCAGGCTGTGAGTGCCTGCAGGGTAGAGAACGGTTCTTGCAAAGCCCATGCCTCTCCATCTCCAGCCTTTGCAGAGCAGCTCAGCTCCTACCAAAACCCAGCCCTGCTGTTGTGCCACAGCCATTCTTGTGCTCACCAGCACGGGCTCAGGACTGGCAGGCTGAGCCCCCCGAGCCAGAGGCAGCCTGTCCTTATCTCTGGCCCCTGGGCCAAGGAGGGGGCCCATGGGGGGCTCCGCTCCCCCAAGCACGAGGCCCTCGACTGTACCGGATCACTTTACGTGTTAACTCTGTGCCTTGACCCCGCAGGTCCCACACTCTTATGCAAGGGCAGGGGCTGGTTACAGAGCCTCCCCCGTGCTCCCAGCACCCTGTACCCCCTCCGTGACATGCTTGTGCTCCAGGACACGTGCCACCACGTCCCCTTCCTCCCTGCCCGTCCCAGCTGGGCAAGGGCAACTCTGGCAGCCCCGGGGGTTTGGCGGGAGGACCCCCTGCATGCACAGTGTAACTCCCCCAAGCCAAAGCGCAGCCCCGCCCCTCGCAGCCCCAGGCCCCTGCCCCGCTATACCAAAGGAACTGGCGGTTGTATTAAAGTTGGTATTTCTCTAGGCCTGCCTGCTGTGAGCTGGGAGGGGTCGCTGTGGGCGGGTGCTCCCCTTCCCCCCGGACCTCGTACGTGGTTTGTCCCGTCTGGTTCCCCCTCCCATCGCGCTGCATTTGGTTTGGTCTGACCGGCGGGTGGGGCGGGAGCCTGCGGTGATTGACACGTCTCGCGCCCGTCGCCCCGCCTCCCGCGCGCTGTGATTGGCCCCGCGCGGGTTCCGGTTCCGGTCGGGCCATGGCGGCGGCGCGCGCGCTGTGAGGGCTATGGCGGCCCCGCACGCAGAGAAGCTGGAGGGAGCGGTCCCGGCCCCGCCGGCCCCGCCGGGGCCCCCGCACCCCGCGGGCAGCGCTGCCGCCGGCGGGCCCGGCCGGAAGCAGGGCAAGGCAGGGGAGCGCGGGGGGACCGGG